GAAAATCGTCTTCGTTTCAAAGCTTCCTGTAACTTTACAGACTTTTTTAAAGCATTCCTTTCCACAAAAAATTGTTTTACCTTGTCTCAGTCAAATCATAACTATTATACGGTGCTGATACAGTTGGAGGACTTAAAATTTTCCAATCCGAGAAACTGCCGTTGTGCTTGAAATGGAAGATTTTTGATCAGAGTATGCTAAAAAAATACACAGTGCTGATTTATTGGTGCCAAATCTGGATTACGATCCTGAAAACTGTGACAAACCGCAGACGCGAAACGCAGCATGCAAAAATGTGTGTTCGGAATAAAATGAAAAGACAGTGAGACGAACGAATGGAAAAAGTGCGACAGTCTGCAATGCCATATCTTGAGTGAAAAAGTTATAATGGAGAATGCAGAACACATCGTCAGAAAAATCGACCATTACTGGACCAGGATTTGAAGAAAAAATCAACTGCCAATTGCAGGGTCTCTGATCGATCGCCGGATGAGCGCGCTGGATTAAAACGGAAGAAAATGGCAGAAGTCTGAGGTCAGTGGCGAAGTATTGAGCATTCCTCATGCATCGGTGGACTGACAAAGGCTGATGATGATTATGAATATAGCGATGGTCCGAAAACGAGGGTTGAATCGAGCACTAAAATATCCATCTCAGCGTATGGTGGGGAGGGGAGGTGGGCAACGTAAGAAATTAATTTGTTCTCTTCTGAGTACAAATGTACACAGTCAATGTAGAGGTCAAGAAAATGAAGCTACACGTGTCAAACGATGGCTGAGTGATACATGAACTCATGTCACTCCTTTCGACCAGGAGGCAGACATACTATGTACGGATGTAGGATTGGAGGAGGAACTGTTCTTTGTACGATGCCAAAATTATTAGCAAAATTTCCGTAAAGCTGAGAATGCAGCTAACATCAAAAACGGAACAAATATTGTCTACCCAAGCGGTTTTGTATGACGATGATAGAGTCAACACAGGCAAGATCTTCCTTTACTTTCAACTACCTCCTCAAATTATTTCTTTAGAGTCTTAGGGGGTGACATCGTTGTTTAGGACGCAGTGCTTCGCTGCAGCTGAACCTTTTCTTCTGTAAAGTTTATGCAGGCCGTATGTTTAATGCCCGGCTATTAAACGTATAGTTAGTTCTCCATGCAGAGGAAAGATCAACCATTCAACAGGTTATTTCCTATGGTAATGGTTCCTTGTTCCAGCAGACAATGGCGTCACCTTTTAATAATATTGCTTAGTAGTAACACCTTTACGCTGCCTTCTGTCTGGAAGGCAACTAATATTTGTCACTCTATGCTGATTATCTGGAAAAAACTGAAATTCTCAAAAGTAAAACAGATGCAATTCTTGTTCATGTGTTAGACGTCATACTTAAAAAACAGCCTTAAAACGGTTAAATCACACGTAACGCAAAGGTGTCAATTCGTTGGATGACCGCCAATTACACGAAATATTGACCACCTCGTGCGTTATGTATATCATAATCGTTTTTATGCATGCCGCGCAACAAACCGCCAAAAAATGAGTCAGAAGGCCCTATTACGTTTATGAACAACGAGGGAAGCGAGCGCCGACGGTCCGCAACCTCGGTTGCGTCGAAGGCGCCCATATGCAGTGAAAAACTTGGCTGCCGTCGGGCCTGGCCTCTGGGTGGCGATAGCGGCGTCGTCTCCGGCGGTGACGGCCTACTCCGCTGTCCGCACAAAGCTGGAAGGGCTACCCCATCGGTCGGTCGCGTTTTGTTCGTCGGTGTTCAGCTGTTGTATCCCACGCTATACCGTCAGTAAAAGATTCAAAGCGATGGCTGACGTTCATGGGCAGACGGAGTTGGCGGAGGAAACTACTGACGAGGTAAGTTGCCTGAGCATGAGTTCGTGACCACTGTGCCAATTTGCCTGTTTAACTTTGATTTTTTAAGTACATGGTCCCACGCTGTCAAATACGATTTCCTTACGACCAACATCTCTAGAACTCAAACTCTATGTACACCGTTCATCCAGCAGATAAGACCGATTTAATAAAACTTTTGAACTCTGGTAGGTCAGCTGAACTGAACTGAAGTTTTCGCTATTGGACACTGGCTCACAGTGTTGGTCAGCCTCTTGGAGGATCATCCATTTGTCCGTAATCTAACTGTAGGAACTCTTTCATTCAATAGTCATTGACTGGCTTCACTGAACTGCTGTCGCCTGGCTGTCTTTAGAAAGTAGACTTGGCAGATATCTCTTGTTCGTGACAGAGCCGATTATGTCATTGGTATTCAGCAATGCTATCGATTACTTCTTTGTTTTGTGTTGTGATTAGTTAATTTGTCGAAAGAAATAATGAGTTAGATGAATTTAGTCAGAAGCGAAACAAAAATCCGTTTACAGGTTACCGTTGTAGAGAAAGATATCCAAGAAGTTGAAATGTTTTAATCACTTCCGTAGTTGTTCAATAATTCGTTAATAATAAGGTTGAGAAATTTATCATTGTAACTTATCGCGTTAAAAAATAGCTATAGCAGACCAACGGACTAACTAGCTGACTTAGGGGATGGAAAGTATTCTTTTTCCTCTTTCATTCAATGCCTAATTCATAAATTTGCAGAAATTGGAGAGTGCAGGGCTCCCGCCGGTTTTCAACAGCGACATGTTCCAGGAGTTGAAACCGATTGAATCGTTCAGACTTTGGCAGATTGCAAAACGTTTAGCGAGGATTCAACTTTCAAGGAGGATGAAAAGGCAAAGGCGAAAAGCCAGACAACTTTAAGTCAGTTATTGTTTTAATTTAATTAATTGTCCAAAGCATTACTTTCAGTTTATTATCACTTCATATCATTAGCATCAATTTTTCACTTTAGGGCAGCGTCTGTAAGAAAGTCCAGACAAAGTTCTTAGAAGCTTTTCTAGAGAGAACTACGCTGTTACACTTGGCCAATGTGCCCTGTTCAATTAACTTGTCAAAATAAGCCATTCTGCACAAACATGGACTTTATTACTTAGTGATTCGTTCAGTCTTTCAATTGTTTCTGATTTATTAATTTATTTATTGTTTCATTGCTTCGTTGTCTAGCAAAGTCTAAAGTGAACTTAGCCACTCCTATCATCAATGTTGCATACTTTTAGCTGATAGATAGGAACCAATTTCATGTGAATTTATTCAGCTATTCATTTTCAAAGGCCATCACATTTATTTTGGTTTGTGGGTCATTCTTTCAAATGGGCCTTATTCTGCTTTTCCACCAGAATTTCAACCATACATATTATGGTATGGTATTATGGTTATATGCCTATTTATACAACCTTTAGTTTTTCCAATAGCTGCATACCATGTGGAGTTGCGAGAAACAAAGGTCTGTCATCCTCGTCAAATGTTCAAATCATCGCAGCTGTGCCTTTCCTTAATCCACCAAAGGAGCGGATACTCGGTATGGATATCTCGGAATGCTGTTTGAAACCCTTACGAGTCTCGCCACAGCCACCCAAGATAGCTACAACAACAATAGCCTCTGCTCGCCTGATCCATAAAGATACTTCATCTAGTCTGTGAATGTTGATTGCATACGCAGTATAAGGTCGGAACAGAATCGAGAAGTTCAGGATTCGAATCCTGGTTCAGAAAACTCGCCTTTCTTCCTTCCGATGTTGACAAATGAGTAACAGGCTTCTGGGAAAGAAACAGGAGACTGCGCTGTATGCTTGCCACATCCACATCGGCCTTTAAAATAAGCCACTCTTGGCTGCTGGAATGGAAATGGAGACTTCATGGAATTTCACGGAAACAAGAACGTCAGAAATCGTGCTATTATGAACGTGAAAACAAAACCAAACGATTGTGAACTTTTCTTCCTTTTTCCATTCCGCTACAATAATTAATATAACTAGCGACGATGATTCTGTATATATATATATATACATACAATCGCAGGGGGACCATTTCAGCTGTTCACGACTGCATGGTATTCATCATTGACTTCACATATAAACTTATATATTTGGAAGAAAATGCATTACACTACAATAATATGAATAAGAAACAGAATAACTTAAAGAAATTAAAATTTTGTTTTTGGGCGCTTCGCGACGTATTCCTTAATACCAGGTAAAGACAAAACTTTGTTAGTGAAGGCTTTCAAGTTGTCATAGCCATCCAATGCCTTATCGCAGTAACAATCCTGTAAACAAGACAGGATTTCGGCAACTGCAATATCCGCATAAGTGAACTAAACGGTGTTTTTATAAGTCGTCATTAATCATAAAAATTACTTCTTACCGAATCTTCAACAAACCAACCGGATTTACTGCACGCCAAAAACTTGCTGTAGGTCTTCAAAAAATTTGCCAGACACTTTTTCTCGAATTTGTCCCATTCTTGCATCTAAATGTACAAGATTAATTTTAATCCACTGCATGAGTAAATGAGACGAACGAATTTCAATGTATAGGAAGAAAGAAAAAAAGCAGGGAAAAAGAAAAAGATGAAATGAGAAATAACTAGGAAGCTTGTTATAATTTATCCAGAAAATAAAATAAATTAAACTGAACCAAAAAGACAAAAGCCACTGCTTTAATAAAAACACTATGTTAGTTGCATGCATAAGAAAATAGCTAACACAGGAGAGAGACGATGCGGAAGTGATGAGCTGAACCATACAGCAACCTAGTGACGAGTATAGAAACAGCAGGTGATACCATGACATTGTTCCGCGTATTTCATGTTCATCTAATGACGATAACTCGTCACTAGGACAGGAAGTTAGTCGGCACGTGGTCGTACTGCTAAGGGAGCCGTATTTAGAAAACTTGACCGGCGTTTGGCCATATGCGAATTAATTGCCTGCAAAGCAGTAGGTATGAAAGACTCAGCCAGGACTGCATGGAGCGTTGTGGGAACCATGTCCTCCGGTAAAATATCAACAAATTATTCCAGAAGGATCCAAAACTGAAGAGAGAAGCATAAGCTATCATAGCGAAACAAGGCCATAGAAAAAATGAAACATGGAACACCCATGACCAGTTTAGCCCGGGTACCGCTCCAGGACAAACATTTAACGATGGCTTTCCTTCGAATTGATTATGCTCCCTGATATGACTTCATATGAAAACAAGAAACTTTGCTGTCCTTTACCAATCACAGTCTATCCGTCTTGCGGTCGGATTTGCGTATACAGTTCTTTTCATGAAGTCAATGTTGGAGCATTGATTTACATTTCCATGCCATAGGGGAGGCATGGCTTATTTTGAAAGCAGGGTCGAGAACAGCTGTGACAAGTATTCTGCACAGTTACCCATCTCCCTTCCACACACTGGAACTCATCAACAAAGGAAGGATGAAAAATGAGTGAACCTCATCGGAGCTCTAAAACTTGACTTTTCGGTTTTGACTGACACTTTACCGACTGAACAATTCCGGTCTGGAGTAACTTATAGTTGCCTAAAGGAACTGGTGGTTAAGATAAAGATTGCCCCCTCCCCCCCGATGCGAACGCGACACTTCAGATGCTCGAAGCTGATCTATTAGGCACCACTCCACTAAATAATTTAAATAACATCAGAAAAATGTCTACCAATCTAATATTTAAAAGAAACCCAATTTCCAACCATTGCCTTGTTCCCCATTGCAAGTTCTCGAGAAAATATCAATTACTACTTTAACACCATTAATCAGCTTAACTCCGTAGGTGGCTGTTAATCTCAGAACCATTGGTACGAGAGCAGGAAAGAGCGCCTGTTACTGCATCGTCATATATTACATTTTTGCGTGCCCTTATGAAGTACAACAAAGACGGTTAACTGCTTCATAACATAATAAACTCGAGTAGCATTGTTTCCAGTGATAAAGAGAAAGAACTATCACAGAACAGAATGATGTCAGTCTCCAGACGTGCATTCATGAACAATCATATGCTTTACAATGTTTTGCTTGGTAACTTTCATGACTGACGTAAATCATACCTTTGATACTGATGTTTAGTGAATTAAATGAACTATGACAATATTTCATGAATTTAAACGCAATCCACTGTATTTGCCATGAGTTGCCTACCTGCAACGATTTGTCGTTGTTTATGATGGCAACCAATTGCGGATGAACCGCCTCCACAATATCAAATGTTCCCGACACCAGCATATCTGCCTTGGCCTGCTCCCACGGAGTCTTACCATCGATGCCTTCAAAATAAGAAGACATACATCCAAATAAGTTCATTTTCATTCGACTTACCACACTGCTTCGCAAGGTAGCGAATGATGGCGCCTGACTGACACAGCATACCCTCTTTACCCTCAAGAACTGGAAGCTGTCCCATCGGCATTTCTGAAATTTAACACTTTAGAGGATGATAAAAAATTTAGCGCATGAAAGTGTCTGAGGAGTTTATTTGCA